AAATGACACCTTTCCAAACTGGGACTGACAGAGGATCCAACTTATGAGAGGTGCTTACAAGAAGATGAATCAGCCACACACATCTTATGTGATTGTGAGGCTATAGCTTATTTAAGATATCGCCAACTGGGTCAATTCTTCATGGAACCAAGTGACTTTTATGATGCCCCCATAAATGAAGTCCTACATTTCATTTGAAGTGTAGGATTAATAGAGGGTAAATCCAAAGGGGAAGCACAATAGACCCTTGAAGGTCACAGTGCTAGGGTCAATTTTATGGCTCACCCCTCATACTCATAGCTGGAAGTGAGTGGTCAGCTTCACACTCCGGCCTCTTTACCCCCCGAGGAAAGGGTCCCTGGTACTCATTGGATAGGAAGTTGAGTGGAGACCCCAGAGCCAGTCTGGGTGACTTGGAAAAGAGAAAATTCTTGACCCTACCCGGACTTGAACTCTGCCCCATCTGCCATCCAGCCCGTAGCCAGTTGCTATGCTGACTACACTACCCTGGCTCCATAATTGCAAAAGATGTAAAAGTTGTGTCGAATTCATAGGGCTGGGATTGCAAAGTCTGTACAACTGTCTATGAGCTGGATGGCCGAGGGGTTGGAGTTTGAGTCTGGGTGGGGGTAAGAATTTTCTTTTCTCCATGTCGTCCAGATTGGCTTTGGGGCCCACCAAACCTCCAGCCAATGGGTACTGGAGGCTCTTTTTCTGGAGGTAAAGCAGCTGGGGCTTGAAGATGACCACTCACCTCCAGCTAGTGCTGAGGTCAAGAAAACATGGATCTATAGATCCACTCCTCCATACACCTTCATGATGTAGTGCTTAATTCGTTAAGCACAGGGAAATCTTTACGTTTTATCTTTCGCAGTTATGAATGTGTAGGCCTAAGAACGCCTTCATGGTGTAGTTCTTAATTAATTATGCACAGGCAGAACTTCTGTTGTATGTAGAAAACTGGAGTAACAACCCCAATCAGGAAGAATCGTGTTAAACAAGTGTTCTGGGAAGAACTAAGATTCTTCTTTCATTTTATATTACACAGACCACATAGAAAACAAGAAAATAAGAGGAAGGGGTGAGAGACACAGAGAAAGCAATATGATCTCATAAGCCACCAACAAAAACTGGGGGTGGGGATACACAGACATATAGACAGACACAGATAGATACAGAGACAGCAAGGCAATCACATAAGCTTCTTTCATTTTTTCAAAATAAGGAAAGTAGACTAAAAGTATGTGTTCCACCTTCTGTTAGGATAGGTATAATTTTCAGATGAAACAGCTTTTTCATTTACAGCATCTACTAATGTGACTGGAACATTGTTCATAATTATTTGTTCAAACATATTCAGGCTTCTGATTCTTGTGCAGTCCAAAATGTATCAGTCTAGGATCCTGCTACATTTTGAAGTGATAGGCTAGACCAGCCCTGTCCAACGCAGCGCCCGCGGTATATTTTTCTGGCGCCCTCCGTAACCACATATAATTGAGCCGATTTTTAATATTAATTCAAATTGTAAGACAAGAGACATTTTTGAACGTCTGAGTACTGTTAAATATTTACGAAAAATTTTATTATTATTATTATTGTTAGTGCGCTCGAGGTGAACGGACGTGCCTTGCTTGTGCTCCCGCCTGCTTGATTGCCTAGTGTCTCTCTGTGTGTACAGGCCTACCGCTGCTTAGGTATGGCCAGTAAGGAACTGTCGGCTCTGCGAAAAGCCGTTTTACGGTAAGCAAAAATCTATTCGTTGTGGCGCGTGCGATTCGCGCTTTCACTGTAATTGTGTTCTTAATTGTTCGCCGGAGCCTAGTGTGAGTGCAACCACCGGTAAGTCTTCTTACAAGTGTGACACTTGCAATAAACTAACGGGGGGTGCTGCAAACGAGCTTTCCTTTTGCAATAAGAACCAGAAGGAAGCAATTACTGCAGCGCTGCAGTGTACTGCTTCGTGTATAGGGGATAAAGATTCCCTCAGCGTGCAGCTGGAAACACTTCGCACCAATACCATCTGTACCGTGGAAATGGTGCAGTCTATAGTTGTGATGCTGTCGAATCTCAGCAGTGAAGTTCAGCAGCTTAGAATCGACAACGAAGCCATGAAGATGCAACTGCGTGAACTACAACGGACGCCCTCACATGTGCAACTAACACGGCGTGAGGCTGGTACATCTACTTTAATTACAGCAAAATCATACAGGGATGTTGTGTGTGTAGTAAACGGAAACCATAGTGTCGCCAAGGTCGCAGCTCCTGCAATGTTTTCACTACCAGAGCCATCCGTTGTGACGGGTGAAAACCCTTCCGGTGGTGATTTTGTAACGGTAGTTAAGAAAGAAGTTCGCGAGGCGCCTGGATCCTGTGATCCCCTCATCCTCCGCAGGCAAGCATTGGGCAGGACGCCGCTACCGCCGCTACTGTCCCTTCCTCTCAGCAAACCTTTCCATTTCCTCTGAAGTTATCTCGTCTCTTGCCCTATATGACCTTCAAATTGATGCAACTTAACCTTTACCATCTTACATACCCTTGCAAGTAGTAATCCTTGTAGTCTGGGATCATTTAGTATCTGAGAAGATTAGGTATGGGCCCTGTCGTATGGTATAAAGGTAAAGCCATCACTGTGACTGTGACAGGCCGTGAAGGCCCAAAGGGTTGTGAGATGTCGATGCTGCCACATTTTCTCTAGACGATCAGCTCACA